TCGTTTTCCACCAATCCAGGTGAGGCAGTGGCTGTGCTGAACCGGTGGAAAACGAGAGGTAGAGCTGGGTATCATCAGCGTACTGATGATTCCGCAGCCCACACCTCCTGATGACCCCTCCCAGAGGTTTCATGTAGATGTTGCAAAGGGGACAAAATGGACCCCTGCGGTACTCCATGGCATAGCTGCCATGGTGCAGAGCCATAGTCCCCCAGCACCACCTTCTGGAACTGGCCATTGAGATAGGAGCAGAACCACTGCAAATGTTCAGTATTTGTAGTTGCTTAAAGCTACAAGTTAAAGATAAGGTTGACTTCTGCTCATGTTTTAATCTAGTAGAGCATCTAAAATTACCTCAAGCTGAGTTAATATGAAGCCTCCTTAGGTTTTCTGTCTCCCTGTTTTCTACTGATCATGAAACAGGGAGGACCTTTATGTTCCCCACCCCACCCCCAGGATCAGCCATTGATTATTTCTTGTTCATACTAATCTTAGGGACAGTTGTAGGTGAAACAGACCATCACATTGCCTGACAGAGCCTTATTTGAATATCTGCAAATGTTCTTCTCTGTTTCATCTTAAAACACTGACCATGCAGACATCATGACTTTAGCACAAAATCAGCTTTCTCTTTTTCCATTTCTACCCCCTTGCTAGTTGTAACTTCTCACCTGATGAAAAGATGGCCCCAGCTTGTAAGAGTTTTTTGACAGTTCCTGATCTTGTATGAAAAGCTCACATTTATCAATGTTCTCAAATGAAATTTTGTTGCCTTTCCAGAGAAAATTGAAAGAACTGTGCAGATTGAAGCTTCAACAGTTGAAATTGAGGAAAGAGGTGTAAAGCTCCGATTAACTGTAGTAGATACACCTGGGTATGGTGATGCCATCAATTGTCGAGATTGGTATGTATTTAGTGAACATGCTTCCAACATTTGAGGTTATCAATTGAGGAAATTGAACTCATTTTTGCCTGTGGCATTCGAAAACAGCCATAAATTATTTTTATTACTTTTATCCAAATATGCTTGTTAAAGTTCTTAGCTTCTAGGAGTCTGTTTGCATTAATGTGTTTGTTTTGCCAGCAAGCTACTACACATAGTAGTATAGTATAGTAGTTTAATTAAAATAGGTGTTGAATTGGGACAGGACTTGAGAAAAGAACATACAATCATTGCCATTTAATTCTTCTGAGCCTGCTTTCCCAAAACTGATTTCTCCATTGCCTTCCACTTTGTGTTAAATAGATTCTACTTATACAGGGTGGGCCAA